TTATATGAATGAAAGATTTATTATTGGATAAAAATAAAACAGGATAGAAAGAAATTTATAAACTAGACATGTTTTTTGAATAAATATTTAAAATTTAATTTAAAAATATAATAATCAATTAATGTCTCTCAAAGTTATTATTTATATATTAAAAACGTTAAATTACTAAAATAAGAAAATTGTGGGAGAAATTAAAAAATTGCGGTAGATTTCTTTTTTGCGGTAGTTTTGCGGAAGAGAGATGTCTGCCTGTAAACTAAAAAATTGCGGGAGTCTCCCGCTGATGGGGGGGACATGGCAACCCTGTCCATGAAGGTCTTTGATACCGCTAACTCAATATTTTATCTAAAAAACAAAGGTTTGGACATCTATTAACGAAATCTCATTTAGTAATATTTTTATGGCTAAAATCCTGAGTTAGCCGTTTTTAAAAATCGGCTCAAATCAAACTATTTAAGAACACTAGTATTCATTTAATGTTATAAAAGAGATCATCCTTTTCCAAATGGCAGGCGTGTTGTTCAGAGTGTTGTTAAACGGCTCGTTATGAGCCGATTTTTTAAAACGGCTAACTCAATATTTTATCCAGAAAAATATTACGCAAACCTGAAGATTTTGCTCATAGAAGGAACAAAGGTTTAGATTAGACATATATTATCAAAATGAAAAATCGGCTCAAAACGAGCCACATTAGTCAGAGGTTACAGAAGAGTTAAACTGTTCCAAACCCTTTGTCGAAAGAGTATCAGTTAACGTAAAAGGTTCGCCATATAAGTGGTGATATTAAAACATTATATTTTTAAAAAATTTGGCATTTGTTTTTTTTAATATATCGACTTTGATATACATTTATCCCCCCCCCCTCCCCCATTTCTAAGAATTTTGGGTTATTTTTTCCTTGAAGATTATACTTCCCTATGTGTATTTTAAAGTAGGGTGTTAGCCAATATGTTACCATTGGAGTTTTTTTTTTGGGGGGGGGGGGGGGTAGGAGTACATATATTACTTATTATGCTCGCAAAATGTTTATTTAATTGATCTACAATAACATCAAGGCTTGAGTAATAAATTAATTTTAATTTTGGATCAAGATAGGGGCTCTTTTATATAGCCCAGATCGCACCCCTTGTTACGTCACTCTTCTTAATCTATTTGTATTCATGAATATATTAGCTTATATAATTTTTCATCTTTATATTTTTTTCCTGGTATCTTTATTTTATTAAAATATTTGTAATAAAACTTGTAAAAAAATATCTAATTTAGAATATACTAAGTTTAAAAAAAAACGCGAACACAATGGTTAATTGTGTTCGCAAAAAAAGAAATAATTTATATTTAATAATTTGAATTTTTTACATAATATAAAAAAAGGTTTCATGTTTAAGAGTTTTTTTATTTGCTAGATTCAGTAGTAATATTTAAGCATATATTAGTCCAATAATTTCTAAAATCTCTTTTATTTGCCCTAATAATTATTATTCAGATTTTGGTTTTGAGGGTTCTATTAAAAATATTATAAATTGTCATTTCTTCTTCATCATTATTATTGCACCACCCCATCATGTTATGGCAATTTTAATGTTTGATAATTATCACCTTATTTCTCTTAGTTTTGTAGAAATAAAATGATTACCTTTAATTCCTTTTATTAACATTTTAGCCTTTCTATATATTCAGGGTTGGGCAGTTTCGCGGATATTTGTATCTAAGATACAAGATTTTTAAATTTTGGAAAGTATCTTGTATCCAGTATCTAAGATACATATTATTTAAAAGTATATGTATCTTAACCAACTTTGTATTCAAAAAGATACAGATACTTTAAAAAAATTTATATTGGTTAATTTAAATAGTATTAAAATTTAAAATGATATTGTTTTAAGATTTAAATGAAAATTTTAATCAAAATTTAGATATTTTAAGATAATTTTTGATATATGACGTTGGTCGTCATATAGCAATTTGCTAACAATTAGAACTACCATATTTGAATCGTTTTATATCTGTCTATTTTAAAATTATGGAAGAAGAAAATAGAATAATATGTTTATCTTCGTCTTCAGATGATTCTTCAACCGAAAATTATAACAATAAATTTAAATAAGCATACTTAATGGCAAATTTTTTGAAGTACTTCAAGGTGATCATAATAAAGAAATTCATCGTGACTTTGGAATTGACGAAAAAGTTATAGCAACTGTTACAGATAACGGCTCTAACTTTAAGAAAGCTTTCAAGGAGTTTGGATATTCTATGGAAGCTGTAGAGAATGACTTTGACATCAATGATGATGAATGTATAGAATTCGAAATCATTGAAAGTATTATTTAATACTTCTTTAAAATTTATTATGATATTGTAAATATTGTAAAAAATTTTATTTAAATAAAATTATTTATTTGTTTATTTAAGGGTCTAAAGAAGCCTCAATAACATTGCCACAACACATTCGTTGTTTGTGCCATACGATATAATTGCCACAACAGATGTCGAGAGAGCTATTAAGGATTCTCCTAACATTTCTAAAATTCATCATCCTGCAATAGCTAAATGTACTAAGCTATGGAATGCAAATAATAGGCCTAAAACTGCAGAACTTATCAAAGCAGTTTTAGGAAAACAATTAGTTACACCTTGTTGCACTAGATGGAATAGTTTGTATGATAGTCTTCATAGTTTATTAAAATTTAAAGGCGAACTTCCTAAATTATGTCAAAAATTAGAATTTCCTAAATTAAGAGATATTGAAATTCAATATCTAGAAAAATATTGCAATATGATGGCCCCATTGGCTATAGCGATTGACAAAATACAGAGTGAAATCAACTGCTATTATGGAGAATCAGCTCCAATTTTAAATGTCGTTAAAAAAAATTACAAATTTAATTCAAACCAAGCTACAATTTTGCAAACCATTAGCTGTTGCCATAGAAAATTATTTAAATAAAAGATTTAAAAATATATATGATTTTGATAACAATGTTAAAAGTGCATTTTTGGCAACTATTTCTCATCCCTATTTTAAAAATCGTTGGATTGATGGTGAAAAAGAAAAAAATACCTTCAGGATTTGTTATTACATGAAGTTTTAATTGTTTTTAAAAATAATATTGAAATTAATACTTCAACAAAATCTTCAATTGATGAAGATGATGATTACTTTTGCCTTAAAAGTACTACATCCAATTCTAATAATTAAATAAATGATATTGAAATAGAGGTACTAAATTATATGAAAGATGACATGCGGAGTATAAATATGTTAAATAGTTTTAAATATATAAAAGAAATATTTATTAAATATAACACAATATTACCCTCCTCAGCCCCCGTTGAAAGATTATTTAGCTTTGTTAATATGGTTGATAGACCAAATCGTCAAAGATTGAACGATAAATCATATGAAAAATTAATAATATTAAAAAATAATGCTGATTTATTATTATTTACTAATTATATAATTATTAAATGGAATATCGCATTATCTTTTATAATAAATTTGTTATTTTCTACAATTTATTTTTTTATAAATTTATATTATAGATAAGAAATAAAGCTTTATACATTTGGATTTTGACTATTTAAAGTTTTTTAAAAAAGTATCTTGTATCTTAGATACTTTTTTTTAAAAAAATACAAGTATCTTGTATCTTATTAAAATTTTTCTAAAGTATCTAGTATCTTGTATCTTAAATACAAAATTTTATAAAGTATCTGTATCTGAATACAATTTTCTGAAAATTTGCCCAACCCTGTATATATTTTATTCAATAAAACTATAGTCAATTAATAAACATGTCCAGCACACCCAAATCATTGTAATTGGGAATAGGTTTGCTTATTTTTAAATAAAAAATTGGGAATTTTGAATCATTATTTTAATTATATATTTTTTATATAGACTTGATATTTGCTCAATAATGTTTTTGGCTCAGTTTGAAATTTATTTTAAGATGGGCATCCTAAATTAAGCATCATGCACACCTTAAATATAATAAAAATTGTATTGGTATTTAGATACTCTAAGGATACATCATTAACATATTATATTAATTGTTATGTACTCCGTCCAATATATGTATATTATGAAACATTTTTTTTAGAAATATAAAGATGCTGGACCCATTTAGGGTGGACATGTTATATTTGCTTAATTAAAAGATAGATAAAAAAATACATTTAAGAATTGTATCAATATTTAGATATATTTGTAAAAATATATCTGTCAAATGTATCTGTATCTAAATCTATTTGAACAGTATCTTTTAACAGCTATGATCCTTATTAATTACTTATTAGAAATATCAGGTTACAGAAATGCTCGAGTATTATAGATAAGGTGATTCAAAATAAATAATGGCCCTTAGGAAAATTACATGGAGTGAGAAAGTTGGTATGTCAATATCTCGAACCCATCAAATATGGCTAAGACCTTAAAAAAATATTAATATTATATTTCCTTCCTATTTTACCTGTTGAATATCATGAATAAATCAAGTTTTTTAAAAAAATTAATAAATTATTAGTTTATTGAATATTTAAGATTAATCATTAAAATAAATATTTTGAATTTAAATATATTTCTTAATTCCATTTATATATAAAATATGAGTGATGTAATTAATATGACTAGAAAATTCATAAAGAGAATTACACTAGAGATTTAAAAATCAATTTATTTTCAAGTAAATCTTTATTAAAAATAAAAATTTGAAATGAAATTTAAAAATTATAATATATTTTTAGCCTAAAGCAAGGAATTTCACTATAAGTTTAAATACTTGTTAGAAATTGAATAAAATTAATATTATATGACCAAAATTTTAAGTAATAACAATAAAGACTAATTTATCACTTAAATATGATTGTAGGTAGATTATAATTCACATAAAGGATTCACTTAGTTTAAAGAAATTGCAATAAGTGGAACATATCTATATATTATTTTATTTTAAATCATAAGGACAATTTTATCCTTATTTGTATAACAAATTATGGTATATGAATAAATATTATTTTAATATTACATATTTTTAATCTATAAGAATTAATATATTATATTGATGTTCTTTTAAAAGAGCTATTGGATAGAGTATACTTTTTATTTAAATGATTCTATGCAGCAGAGGTTTCAGATTTTTTAGGTAACAGTATACTGTGAATATTAGGTAAGACTCCTCCTTGAGCAATAGTTACTCCGCATAACAATTTGTTTAGCTCCTCGTCATTTCTGATAGCTAGCTGCAAGTGTCTCGGTATTATTCTCGTCTTCTTGTTGTCTCTTGCCGCATTACCTGCTAGCTCCAATACTTCAGCGGCTAAATATTCCATCACGGCTGCCAAATATACAGGGGCCCCAGCTCCTACTCTTCTTGCATAGTTTCCTTTTCTCAAAAGTCTATGAATTCGTCCAACAGGGAATTGAAGTCCGGCACGATTCGATCTACTCTTTGCTTTGCTCTTAATCTTTCCACCTTTGCCACGTCCAGTCATTTTTATATAATTTAAGTTATAAGATTTTAAAAATAAATTGTAAAATAATATTATGGTTGAATTCTTTTATTTATATAGGCAAATTTATGTGTTATTTTTAAACAGCCAATCATAAAAATGTATTTGTTATTTGTTTGTTAATAATTTAATTTATTTCTAAGCGAAAGTGTTAGTTTATTAGTTTCAATGGCCTATCCAAAATTTTGCTAAAGGGGGGAGGGAAGTGAATTTTTTTCCTATAAATTTTATTGGAATTATAAAGGTCACTTTGGTAGGCCTTTAGCTATATTATATTTTTATAAAAATAATTTTAGAATTTCACTTTTTTTTATTAAAATGATTTTTTGGAAAGATTTTGAAATATATTCGCTATTTTAAAAAGTTATTTTTATTTACAAATTTTTCTATTAAATAGTTCCATATAATATTGCATTGTTTTAGTTATTTGAGGAGAAGAGGGTGTTTAGAGGGATAATTTTTATAGCTTAAAATGATATTTACTAGAACAGGTAAATTTGCAATAAGGGATCCCCCCCCCCATTGATTCACTCCTGCTGGGTTTAGTGTAGTATCAACACAAGAAGGTAGAGGGTGAAAGAAAAAAATAATACAGAATTGGCATCAAATTCAAATCATGCCAGAATATCAAAATATTAGATTTGCACTTAAATTTTATGCCTTACTTATTAATTCGTCGATCAATTTAGCCATAACAATCAAATAGAATAAGATAAATTATAATAAAATTGAAATGGTGTTTATCAAAATTCTTAACAGATATCATTTACAAGAGAAAAAAGGAGGGGGTGAGGTTTAAATCTTCCACCCCCGCCCCCCACCCAATATACCTTCTACTGTTAATCTTACCCCCTCCTCCCTTTTCTCTTCCTTACTGTTTATGTTAATTAATTTATTTTTGTTTATACATCCTAGATAAAAAGAGGGTTATCCTAAAATATGCCTATTCTCGTAAAAATTTTTGCAGAGATGATCATGGCAGCTGTTTTTTTATATGACTATAATTATTAATTTAATTTGATATATTTTTAAATTAGAAAAATAATATCCATAATAAACTGTCACTATTTTAAGAGAACGGGCTGGAGTCACCCTCCGGGTTTAAAAGACCTGATAAGATTCCGGTCTTTGGTCCAAAGATCTAACTGCGTTTGTCCTCATATAAATATGTAAATATTTTCCATAAACAAAAAGAGTTTTTTTAAACAAGTGTCCATTTTACTTAGGTATTAAATATAAGTCTGCAGGTATGAGGCAAAATGATTTCCGGGTTAGGACGGATAAATTGTGCAAATTTACTGTCGGAGTAAGTTTGAATTCTTTTTTTAAGCCCTTTATCTTTATTTTAATAGATAAATAGGTCCATAAACCTGTTAAAAAAATAATCGTCACCCTGGCCTACAATTAATATTTGGCACCTAGTTCAAAATTAATCTTGTTAAAATAAATATCTTATTTTATAGCAGAATTAAATATGAAGAAATTTTATTTGACAATGCAATGTTATATTATAAAATTCAAAATCATAAAATACATTCCTTTTTATTTACAATTTATAATGGGGGAAAATAAATTGGAGGCCACGTGTCTACTATCCGCTTATCCCCAAAAAATATTATTTACTTCCTACTTTTAAGAATAATAGTTTTTTTTTAAAATGGGTTCAATTTCCTTTCTTTGATTTGGCATCGATTCCAAACTCTTGATTATGATGCATGTATCCGTAAAATATAGTATCTGACGATTCTTAAATAGTATAGAGGGCGTTAATTCGAATCTAACTAATGTGTAAATTTACCTTGATAAAAAATTCTACCCAATACTCGCTACCTACCTTATATTTTTTAAATGATGGTTGTGTAATACCATTAATTTTGATGTGAAAATGATTTAAATCTAATAACATAAACTTATCAAAGATAAATACGCCGCAGGAACTGAACTAATTATTAAAGCCCATTCAAACATCTAAGACTTAATATATTAAATTTGAGTCAGATATTGAATAATACACTAAATTTATCTTTAAACCGTTATATATTATTATCATGTTACACATTGTAAATAACATTATTATTTTATTTTTATGTCCTTAATATAAAAAAACATAAAAATTTATAAATTTTACCAAATTAATAAAATTATGTAATATGATGACCAAAATTTTCCATAAATTTTTTTAAAGTTTCGTTAAAATCATCCAAATAAATAAATTTTGAAAAAAATGATTTAACACTATTTTATTTTTACATCTAAAAATAGCTTGTTATTTTGCCCATCAAAATTAATAAATTTATCCGTTTATATTTAGCACAAAACCTAAATTAAAAAAGAAATTAGCGTTAAATAATTATATTTATATTAAATAAATGGCTGCTATGATTATTCTGCGTTTAAACTAAGACAAATTTGAAGATACAAACTATAATAGCTTATTTTAAAGGTTTCATCAAGATCGCCTTCTTCGTTTAATTTTCTACCTAATTTGATAAATTTTGGTAATTCCTCGCTAAAGACACCACAAAGGTTTTGAGAAATGGAATTAATATAACATTTTCCATGTCCGCATATTCATTAATTTTTTCAAAAGTTCGAATGAACAAATCGCAGGGATATTTTTATTGGCTCGGGCAGAAAAATCAATGCACAAGCACTTCCTGAGCAACTGGAAATCCAAGTCATAAGAATGATACCATCTGGTTTTGTGCTGTTACTTCAACTTAAATGATTTGACTACTCAAGGCTTATAGGATATGACCCCTTTTTTTCAGGGTTTTTGATGTTTATTTAAATAAATATAAAAAAAATTAAGATAAAATTTTTTAGTTTTATTAAAAATGATGTAATCAATTTAATATTCAAAGAAATAATTTTGGGGAAATCATCCTTATATAATAAAATAATTTAAAAAAAATTGCACAGTATAATCGCGCTAAGGTTACATTATTATTTGTATTATAATTTATCAACTATCCTACCTTTTTTTTGTAATTTTATATATATTTATGTTATATTATTGTTGTCGTTATATGGCGTAATATATGTTTATAACGTCTAACTGTATTATAAAAGATTTAAACTAGAGATCTGCAAAAGTAGGCCAGGCCTGTACCCGGCCCAAGCGGGCTTCAGGCCGGGCTCGGGCCTAATTTTCTTTTAAAAAATCGGGTTCGGGCCGGGTTGAGCCTTGGAATATTTTTAAAATATAATTAAATTTATCAATTTTAATATTGAATTTTTTATGTAAAATAAAAATATTTGAATTTATTTATAGAACTAGACGCCATATAACGTATGTCTTTTATTTTGAGTAATTATAAAAATTAATTTCTATAGGGCCGGTAAATTTTATTAAAAACATTTCGGGTTCGGCAAAACTTTTTAGAAAAAGTTTCGGGTTCGGGCCGGGTCGGCAAATCTTTTTTTAAAAAAAATTCAGATCGAGCCGGGCTTGAAAAATAAGGCCCGATGCAGATAACTAATTTAAACTATCACAAAATCTAATTCAAAGATCAATCATTTTCATTTCTAGAGTCGGTTTATTAAAACAATGAATTATATAAGGGATCCAAACTAAACACTGTTATTTAAAAAACCTAAATTGTACCCTAAACCTCTTAAGCGTTCGGTTTAACGATAATAATTAATGATCAGCTTTGACATTGATAAGTAACTATAATTATTCTTATATATGATTGCATATTGTTAATTTGACAGTGTCCATTTTCAACTAAACAAATTTGCATATGTAAAAATTCTCAACCATTGAATTCATATAATACCTTATTCCTTATAAGATATAATTTGATTGAAGTGAATCTTGAAAATATTCTAAATTATTAATGACGGTATATTCATCTTAAGAGATAAGTTTGTAGGTAAAAATGTTCGAACCGGGGTTTAGGGGTTCAAATTAAACTAATTTTAATAATTTTTTAAGAACCGAACCGTTATTTTTTATCTGAACCTAAACCGATAGTCGTTATGAATCGAATACGTGACAACCTTTTCCAACCCCCCCCCCCCCCACCAATCTGGAATTAAGATTATTCCGCTTCGATCGCGCAATATGTTACCATACAAGCATTACCTCACTTTCTTTCTCTCTCTTATCTCGAATACAAGAGGCAACAAAAACTTATTTAAAATTGTGGTATAATTATTAGTTAATTTAATTCGAACGAAATTACATTTATATTTTTAAACAGGAGGTACCCCTACCATTTAATATAAAAACCTAGTAACCCTGGGTGATATAAATGAAGAAGAAATTTAGCAATTAAGATTTGTATTTAGATAACCTGAGAAATTTTACTTTCAAGAAGGCCTAGAAACCAAAACGTACTCAGCGAATACTTAAAATTCTAGAACGAGTGCGCGCTCTATATAATAAAAAAATATTTCCTATTTGAGCAAGCCCTTAAATAAGAAATAAATAAATAGAATTGACATTTTGTAGTTAAATCGGAGTAGTATTACATCCTGACCTGAATGATGAGAGTGTCAAAGATGTACGCTTGTTATTAACATAATATTTTATCGCTATGCACTTTAATAGAGAAGACCCAAACTAACGGAAATGTTACTGTAAGTGGGAAACATGGTAAAGCCATCGTGCTATTTTTTCAACTTTAAAAAATCTGATTTTTGCCTGAAATACTTCGTACAATTTTGCTATGAACATAATAAAATTTCTATTCATTGTTTTTTTTTGCACAGATTTTTTTTATACAAATTTAAAATGATTCAAAGTTATACTTACGGGAAAAATTTTTTTGGGAAGGTAATTCCAAGCATGTTAGAAATACATTTCCGGTAAAATCAGATCTTCAAATTTTTTTTTAAAAAAAAAGTGTTCAAAAAAAATGAATTTTCGTTGGGAAAAAAAAAATAATATAATGGCTTACAACGTTCCCACTTTAACAATGTTTGACTTGAAAAATTATTTTGTAAAATATTCAATATAAAATTTGCAATCTAATTTTTAAATAGTTTAAAGTTTTCAAAAAAAAAAAATCACGAGATTATGCCCGTTTTATTTTGAAATAATTATATTTATTTCAAAATATAATCATAATTTTTTCTTGGCGTTTTGCTTGAGATGTAATAGAAATTTTTCCATGTCTTGCAAGGTAATCTTGTTTTTGATATCATCCTATATATAAAAAAAATCGATATATAACTTTGTTATTTTATATTATCATAAAAGGGATGGGAGCTCAACTCCAAAAACATTACTATTTTTTTAATTTTGTTTTTGATCCGAACCAAACCACATATTTTTGTGAATTAAAAACTCCCCTTAATTTTATTCGCTCGACTAATGGCGATGTCCGTGGGTAGGGAAGTCTTATCGGTCGAGATTAATTGTTTCTCAGAATCGTCTGGCGTAAGTTTAAACGGGTCGCTATCGTCAGATGGAGAAGGAAATCTGTTATATTATTTTGTGTATTTATATTTAAAAAAATGCACATTTGCTTTCTAATTGGATGAAAATTATGCGTACTTTTAGTATATATTTTCCTTTCCTTTCATCGTGGTAAAAAAAATATATATCAATAAATAAAAAGATTATGGGTAAAGAAATTACTTTTTAGACGGATCCGTTTCTGTCAACTTTTTACCATCTTAAAAAAAATAAATTTTATTTAAATTTAAATAGAGATACAAGTTAGGGGTAAATGGATCGGGGGTTATTTTGGACCAAAAGAAGTGGGGTAAATTAGAACATAAAGAATATTGTACATAAATTTATATTTTTATAAAAAAAAAAAATCGATTTCAAAATATTTTTGTAATTAGCTGTTGCATACCATCCTCTTTAGATTTAGACCCGCGTTCTGGTATTGTAGAAGGTTCGTCAAAGCTTGAGCTAAATTTCAAAAAAATAGAATGGAATTCGATGAATATTAAAAAAAATGTCATAAATATTTTGAGTGGCATCCACAAAAATACCGACCCAAGATAAACAACCTCCGAAAAACACCAGGTTAAGCTTATAAATCGATTTTTTATTTTTTTTTACAGAGAGAGCAGATCTCAAATTAAAAATTTATTATCATCGTTTTTAAAAGTGACGTTTTTAGTAAATATATAAAAAATATTATATCATTTAGAATTACCAAACTTATCTTTCACATATCTGGGTTGATAACTGTTACATGTTTGTAACTGTATATTTTACTATACTTTTTTATTTTAGAAGGTTTAAGGCGATCATTTTTTAGTAACGATATATTATATTGTATTAATATATTATATGTTGTAAATTGGATAACGTGATTTTATATGTTTTAGATAATGGATTTACGTTGTATATAAAAAAAGAAGATGTATTATTTTTCATAAGTTAAGTTTTTATAATAAAGAATCGTTTTAAAATCTTATATTTAAATTAAATTCTTTATATTAGCTAAATTCAGACTAATTCCTATAAATTCTAACGTACAAGTCAAGAATAAAGATTATTATTAACATGAAGGTTCTCAAAAAGTCATTCCTAGAAAAATAATTAAAAGTAATGCATCTTTCAGTTTTTTATTAAATATCAGATCGGTGCCGATATTTATCGTTTCCCGTCATAGCATATTTGTTATATTATAAATGAGATTATTAATTTTGGGGGGAAAGGGGATAACATAAAAAATTAGTCATTAGTGATCGGGTACCTAACATCGCCTAGGCCACTAGAAACGGAAAAATTTTAAAAAGGTTTCCTCTTTCTCGTTTTGCCCATAGTTTACAGTTGGTCAACACTTTTCGTGAAAAATGAATATCACATTTTTCATGATATTAGTTCAAAGTATATAGTTGGGTAATTAAATTACTATGTTTTTTTAGCCGTTTAAACCAATTTTTTGGGTCGCTAAAAAATCGGCTAAACCAAGCTTTTAGCAAAACTAACACTTTGGCCTCGGAGGTTATTCTTAAAAAGAGAGGAGCTCAAATTTGGAAAAAAAAAATTAATATAAATTAGAACGCCCATTACCCAACTATATAGTTCAAGGATAGATGATAAATGGTCAGTTTTGTATAGATATTTAAAAAATGTTGGACGGTGAAACCCTAATTATTTTATTTTTTTTAAAAAAAATATTAATGCATATCTATTCTATTTATAACCTGGAGGATATATCCGAATAGCTGTCTAATTTAATTTTTCGCTCGCTTGCCCGTGGCCCATTGTCTAAATGTCCTTAAAGATTTCGTTTTTAAAAAAAAATAATAATTAAATATCCAATTTAATCAAATTTAGCGGTAACATTCCATTCAGCATAACATGGCATTGTGCAACGCGATTATGTATTTTTTTTTTAAAAAATAGAAGTTTAATTATAAGTACTTCTTAACAAAAAAAAAATCTTAAAAACTCACGTAGAATCCGGGGTAATCCGGACCTACCAACGTAGGTCAAAAAAAAAATTTGTAAAAAAGAAAGAAAGAAAAACTTTATTAAAAAAGAAAAGTTTAAAATTTAAAGAAATAAATAAAAAAAAATATATATTACTCTCAGTTATTTTATTTTTCTCGACGGCATATGAAACGTTATTCGAATTACTGGTTGAACCATCGCTGCTAGAATGTGAACTGTCCGACGAGGAAGATTGACTCGAAGTGTCGGAAGATGCGGATGATTGACTTCGATTAAGTTTACCCTTCTCATTTCCTTCGGGGCCCTCATTCCTCTTCTTATTTTCGTTAAATTTTTTGGGAAAAATAAATTTCACCCGAATCCCAAGAAAGTTTTTACGAACAAATTAGTTATTTTTTTAAAAAATTATAATTTTGTTTAATTTTTATTATTATATATATTTTTTTTAAAAAAATAAAATAAATAATAGTATATTACAAACAAATTAAAAATTAAATATCGATGACGCAGTAACAATTTCCGCGGGCGTTATAAGAGCGATGCGATTTCGCAAAAAAGTATATCGCGTTATTTAATTTGGTTACATATAAAATTATATTTTTTTTAAAAAAAAAAGTAGCAGAATGACAAAAGACATACAATGTTAGGAAGTATAATATATATATGGTTTTTTTTTAAAATATATAAAATTTTTCAAAAAAAATCATTAAACCGGCATTAACCAATAGGAATATAGCAAAGAATCCAGAAAATATCGGTCGGCAAGCGAATAGTTTTTTGAGGCGAAGTGTATATATCATAATATTAAAAAAATATAATTAATTCAAGTAATATAAATATAAAATTACCTTCTTAAGGATAATGATAATTTTTTTATGGGGTCGTTATCGAAATTTAGGGAGAAAATAATTTAAAAACTTCATCATTATCAATCTATTTAAAAGTATATATGTTAGCGTCAATATGTTTTTTCCGGGGGGAATGTGTTATTTTTACAATTTTAAATCATTTTTTGAGCGCGTTTTTATAAATTTAAAAATCAGATATTACCGGGAAAGTATTACAGCAGGTTTAGAATACCTATGTTAGGCCGCATTCACAGTGGTATCCGATCCGACACGATTTAACAGCTGATCGATATATAAATCGGTTTATGAGAATCTATTTTTCTTTATTAAAACCAATATTTATTAGGTTATTATCATGGATAGAATTAAAGATAAAATTAATATTTAAAAAAAAAATTGATCTAATAAACAGATTTTAAAAATCAATCAGCTGTTAAATCGTGTCGGATCGGATCCCACTTTGAATGCGGCCTTGTAAATTGTAAATAATTTTGCCGTTAACCCTTAAATCATTTATAATTTATTTTAAAAAAATCTACGGAAAAACAAATATTAAATTATATTAAGTTCAAAAGTTCATAGCGAAAACGGTAGGCTTTCCAAACATGATGGAATACATTTCCCGTAAAATTAAATTTATAAATTTAAAAAAAAACGCGCTCAAAAAATTGAAAGTGGGAAAAAGTAACGCATTTGCTGGGAAAAACACATTAAAATTTTATTAAAAAATTACCGAATAAATAGGTAGCCCTTAATTTTACCCGATTTTAAAATTAAATACAAAGAAATCATAAAACAATTAACCGTAGCACGGGCACGGAGATGGCTATAGGATTTGAGCTTTAGTCGGAGCCATTCCAGGCTTCCTTGTTCCGATTCGCCAACGCTTTCCGCGTTTAAATGACAAAAAGCCTTCTCGTAATAATCCAAAAAACGGAATGGGTCAACCTCATCGGTTTCATCGTCGACCGAATCTTGGTGGACCCGTTTCGGAGCGTCTTTGTATCGGCACTTTTTATTGGACGGCGATGGGATGACGTCATTGTCCACGTACTCTTTTTCCAACCTGTCCATCATAAATTATATAAAGTAGTGAAGGCTTCATAAGTTAGGCCATGGTTACATCGCATAGAGCGATGGACAATCCAATATATAAAATTTTGATAATTAAAATGTTAGCAACGAAGAACAAGGATGTTCATATAAGTTTCTTTTCAGACTCATTTTTTTTTTGCCATTTTTGGGGGTCTAAATATTATTTTTTGTTAAAAATTATTGGCAGAACAAAAATCGGTAAAACATATTTACCTCGGGTGATTGAGTGGAATTTTTATTTGTTTAAAATGAGATAATAGAATCTCTTAAGTTTCCAATAATACAATAGAAAAGTATTTTTTAAAAAAATGCGTTGACAGTTGAACATTTTGAGGGGCATAGGCATAAACAGGGACCAATTTATGGGCGGCCCATCGAGCGCGAGGTATTTTCGGACAGGGGTGGGTACGGACTCCTCTCCGAAAATCGATTTCGATTAAGTTTCCAGTTATCAAAATTTCCGCTTAAAATAGAGTTCAAAATTCCTGAACCCGTTCTTCTTTCAATAAACCCAAATAATATAAACAATATCCATTAGATGTCAGATAATTCCCTCCGGCTCTAAAAGATAAGATATGTATCGTAAAAAATAAGAATTCAATTGGTAAATAGCAATAGGTGGGCCGATACAGTTAAGAAGTCACGCTATATCTACCATTCTCAATAATTCGAAGATCGTTATTAAATACAATATTTTAAATATGATATAATTTGTAAATTAATTAAAAAGACATGTTATATTTTCTCTCTAAAAAAAGCTGTTAAAAAAGGAGGGGAGGGGGTGGCAGTGAATATAACTGCTAAATTGTCCAGATACCACGTAATCTTAGAAAGCGCAGTGTAATTTAAATCCCACCCCACCTCCCCACCAGGATCCAATTTAAAAAATAATCCTCTTTATTAAATAACCCGTCTCCATCATATGGCTAGCCTACCAAATATCTTCGCAATCTATTTCAAAAAAAATAAATACATTTTTCCGCGCGTCAGCAATGTTTGTACCAAGTATTGTTTCGCGTTTTTATGATTCGGTTCGTTATGGAGCGCTTGATCGAAAAAGGAGATGGCCTTATCCAGACATGGATTAGGCACACTGGCGTATCTAAAATCATTGTTTTTTATCGAAATATCAATGATTAACGGTCATAAACAAAATATCCTTTTTTCTCATTCACCATTTTATTTTTATTCTATTTCTTTCCTTTGGGTAAGCTGTGCTGATACACAAATTTTCCACATATTCGTAGAAAATGGATATTAATTTTATATTTACAAGCCCATAAAAGAATCAACATATATGCAAAAATTCCTAACTATATTATGGGGAAAAAAAACAATAAAACGCTTTAACTTTTCGTTTCTTCACGACCAAAGCGAAATTTGGTGCATTTAAAACACGAATAGCGGTATTTTGGATATTATTTTTATCCCCTCAAAAGGCAGTGTTGTTAAAAAAGTCCAAAAGGCCAGAAAGATATCAGCCAGAATAATATTATTGTAAGCCTCAACATTTTACTCGTAGATGGCAGAGGTTTTTAACGTCTATTAGCCAAAGTGTTAAACGGTTCGTTTTGAGCCGATTTTTAAAAACGGCTAACTCAATATTTTAGCCAGATGAATATTGCACTAAGCCTCAAGATTTCGACAATAAATGTCTGGATCCTTGTTCCTTCTATGAACAAAAATCTTCAGGCTTGGGTAATATTTGTCTGGATGAAGTGTTAAGTTAGCCGTTTTTAAAAATCGGCTCAAAACGAGCCGTTTAACAACACTAAGCCAAACCTCGATACCTACATAATATTTCTTTGGGCTAAAAACTTAAATCGGGTCGTTTTTTTAAAAATCGATCCTGGCCTTTTTAACAACCCTAATTGATTGCCAAAAATATTTTGGAACAACAAATATTGGAAGATCACAAAATTGAAGATTTTTTTCCCCCGATAAAAAATTTTTTTCATGCATATCACAAAATATTTACTTAATAAAAAGGGAAATAAAATTTGATCAAAAATCCCATTTGAGCTTTCTCGAAAAAAAAAGTTCTATTTTAACTCAGAAAATAGGTTTTAAAATAAGCGTGTAAGGAGGGGGGTAGTTGACCCGGACAAAGGAAATTTTTAAAAATCCTAGGTACATAATTCTTTACTCCCCCCCCCCTTCCTCAAAAAATTCCCTTCTCGAGATTGGTGACATTTCGCTTACAGTGCTCCTTTGGCCACTAGCGCGTCTACGTTTGAGGGGTCTATGGAGAGCGCCTTGTTGTAGCATTGATTAGCTTCTAGATTGCTAGATTGATTGAAGCATTCGATACCCTTTTTAAGGCTTCATGTGGTGTTATTTTTTTTAAAATGTACATGTATATATACATAATTTTAAATAATAAGACGTGTGGTCGTTTACTATACTCTGCTAAAAACAAACAAAACCACACACTTATTATTATTTAACTTTTTAGATTTTAAATAAAGTACATCTTACTATAATAGTTATTTTCTTATGAGTTAAATTTAGTTTGCTTTTTGTTTCTGTTTTAATTATGTTATTTATACATATTATAGTGCGAACAAATTGAGACTTTCAAATGCTGTGTTGCATGCGCAAATAATGCATTTTAAATGGCCTCGTGCAAATTGATAAAATTACCGTTTTGCGTTAGCAACCATTTAAAAAAACGCAAATAGGTTTTCTTTTTCATTACTTTTATTTATTCTTCACTTCGTAATTTTATAAATGTAATATAAATAACTTACTTATAATCCTACAAAGGAATATTTAGAAATTAAAGAAATAAGAACGCAGACGATAATATAATTTTCGAAGACAAATCCTTTTTTTCAAATTTTTTAAAAACTTATTTAAAATTTTGAATCGACGGATATTAAATAAAAAGATAACCTCAATTTAAACAATGGACGCGTTACGTTTTTTTTGTAAACGCTCAATTTGTGCGCACTATTAGTCTTTGGATAAAACGTTTACCTGGAGGAATGGGTTAATGGTATACGATGTTGTTGAACGTTATTAATTTTTTTTATTTTAGAAAACGTCTAAATTATTTCATACAAGTGCTCACAAATTGAGCGGATGCGTTTAACGTTTTTTTTTCTTTAGAAAAGGCTTCCATTTTTTTTTCAAAATGAAGAAGTTGTTTTTATTCATAACATGCGATTTTTTTTAAAGCTAATTTCCATTGTTTTTAACACACAAAAAAACGTATGTTTGCAACCTTACCATTTCAAAATGTATTATTTTTAAATATCTACATACAAATTTTTTTTTAAAATGCAGTGTAGCTTCAGAGGTAAAAATGTTAATCAAGAAATAGCACCAATGGGCACCAGCTTTGTTAAAAGGTCCGATTATAGATTATTTATAGCTGGCAGAAATGCTTGGACATCTTATTTGCCAAATCTTAGATTGCTTACATAATAATAATTTTAGGGCCCGTTTTGAAAAAATCGACCCAAATCGGGCTTTTTAACAACACCAAAGGACACCACGAAGTGGGGCACAAAAGATCGGTATTTCGATTCCCGGCGGGATCTATTTGTTCCCTGAAATTAACCTATTCAAATAGATAGCTGGGGGTGGGGGTTAGAAAGATCTTAAAAGGATACAAAGTAGGGGTAGAGCTTAATATTAAAAAGAATGTGTTATTGCATTTTAATAAAAGTTTGTGTTGACTGATACCTGCATATCATTTTACCCTCAAGGATCTAAGCCAGGAAGAAGGAGATAAAAAAATCGGCCTCTCTCACCTACCCCCCCCCCCATTTTTATTTTAATAGTGTACGCTACTCTAACCCCTATCTTTCTTAACCGCTCACATTCATAGTTAGCACGAATTGGCGGCGATGTTAAAACAATGTATACCGCATTTTTTATGTTATTTTATTTTTTTACATATTTCGCCATGAAATTCGAGCTAAATGTGAATGTAGGGAATCTAGGAAAATAATTCCCCGGGAAATTCTGGTTTATTAAGATTAGTGTTGATAAACGGCACGATTTATTTTTAAAAACGGCTAACTATTCAGAAAAATATTATGCAAGCCCTAAAGATTTTGCTCATAGGTGACACAAAAGTTTGGACATCTATTAACGAAATCTCGAAGCTTATATTTCTGGCTAAAATAATAAGTTAGCCGTTTTTAAAAATCGGCTCAAATCGAGCCGTTTAAATTTACTAAATTAATATAATATAAAAAAAAAATCCCTTATAAATATATCCACGAAATTTAAAAATTTTCAAATAAAAAATGTTTAAAATTTTTTTAAGAAAATTCAATTCTGGGGGGAAATTATTTTGAATTATTATCTGGGATTTTTTTTTTATCGGGGAATTATTTTCCGCTTACCGAATATGGGGTAGTTCTAACCCCGTATATCTCTCTAACCATTCCGTAAGGTACCCAGCTCGCGGTTAGAAATATTTCCGGGTTAAAAAGAAATTTCAAAAATATTTTCGTCCAATAAAAAAAATTTAAATGAACATTCTTACAATTGACAATAAAAGCATATAATTTTTAAAAAAAATTTAATGTTTTTTTTTGGTATAAAATTTTTTATTTTTTTAAACAATTTATAAGCTAGCGCGTATAGAAGAAAGAAAGAAAAACACAGTTTGCCCGAATTCGCGTCTTCTACGCCGCGAATTCGAGCTAACTGCGAATTCAGCGTCAAAATGGTTAACTAGTTTTAGCGTAACTTTTGGATATACCAGCTGTTCGTTAGAAAAATTTTCTCAAACTAATTTGACGAAATTGACAAATGAATCGATTTATCAAAAGAAAAAAATTTATAATTAATTTGAATACTATATACATCATAAATATATTTATACGAACATTTCTAATGCCCAAGACTTTGCTTGTCTTTGCTTCAAAATGGCGCTAAAATTTTGACAATCTTCCGGTATGGATATCCTTTTGGAGAGAGATATTAAGAAAAATAAACAAATAATTTTGTTTACGAATTTAGAAAAATCTAGAAATTCGACAAAAAAAAAATCTTCGAAAAAATGATTTAACATATTTTTTTGTATTTCGTTAAAATTGTAAATACCTTGGCATTCGGTTCGTTCTTGGCATTCGTTCATTAAAAAATAGAAATAAAGGCACGTTAATTACTATAACTTGGGTTCGGTCTATATAAAATCTGATAATGGTTTTAATTTTTATGAAATCCATTTATTTTCCGCCCCTTCCAAGTTTCAAATTAAAAGGAGATATCTAGGCTGGGCAAAATTTTTAGGAGCCGCGGTTTAACGGTCCAGAAAACCCGTATAAAAAAATCTCTGTATAGAGCACTTCTAATTTTAAAGTGAAAACAAACGATCAGAAAATTAAAACATTCAACATTAGATACATATATATATAATTAACTTATTAAAGGAATCGAAGAAGGTTAGATGATTATTGTAAACGTTGAAGTGCCTGGCACCGAGCTGATTGGTTACTAATTGGATCATATTCCTCAGACAATTCAAATTGGAAAACGACGGGTGATTCTCCAAAAGTTCCTTGTAAGATTTTGCATCCCCTTCCATCCGCGAATCGCCCGTATCTTCGACAACATTTTGTCCTTTCGACGGTGAATTCTCCTGATCTTTTGATTCCGACGATTCTGTCGCGCTATTTTGGTCACCCCTTTCAACGATTTGCCTGTCGAAATGAAAGCGCTTTGATTTTAGATTTATCTCATGTTCGTTGGTCTCGAATAAGCTTTTTGAAAGAAAATATAAAAAAAAATGAATATTAATATTCGTGAAGAGTAATTTAATTTTAGCTACTTGTTATTTCCCAGTTGGGTGGACCTGATGTATTAGTAAAAGATATTCGTTAATATCTATTATTAAGTTTGTGATAATTGTTTAGTATGAACCAAAAATTTTAAAACTCTCTCTCTATCCTTCCCGTTTTTGATATAGGGTAGTTTTTCGATATTATGATAAATATGGCTTAATTAACCTTTTTTTTGAGGAATGAATCAATTATTTATAATAAAATATTACACAAAAAAAAGGATTGATTATGTCTAAATTAGATAAGTTTATTATTTAATAACCATTGTATGATTGTTTTTATAAAACCCAAATTCCCGAAAAACAACATTATAATACTTTCACGGACAGATTTCTTATCCTATCTTCTAAACCCCAAAAATGTCTCAAATTTAACAAGCAATGAAACCAAAATGTCAATGGAACTTGGCTAATTTAATATCTTCAAAATCTCTCATCTATCATGGTAAAATTCCAAGCTAGATCTAATCCGTTTAATATAATTTTGTTTTCCAATGATATAATTTAAAAAAAAAATGAATGATGGTAAGCAGGACCATTTAATTCATAATAAAACAATCAAGAGCGTCAGTAGAGTATTTTCATCACATGGAGTGTATTCCAAACTTAGGAATCGTTTAGAAAAATCAGTTTTCTTTTAGAACAAATTTAATATCAATGTCGAGTACATGAAAAGTTGCAATGCATTCCCAAAGTTTGGAATAAAAATTCGATCTTTTAATTTTAACCGCTAGATTTTGGAAGATATCATGATAAATCCTCTTACAAAATTGTATTGCATTGTTCTAATTATAATGAAAAATTATTTTTATGGTTTATGCTTAAAATAAAACAGATGTGTCTGTTATTTTGAATAAATTTTAAAGTGTTTATTTTTCTGGATGACAAACCTTGAACCCGAACTGAGTTCAGAAATATTTCACTGAACCAGAACCCTTTTTTAGAATGAGAGTTCACAGTCCTTAGAATATTAAATAATTTCTAACCACATTATTATGTCAAAAATTGGAAACAAAATAAATCAAGTATTTTTTTATCTAATACGTAATGATTACTAGTACAATTTAGAATTTTTCATATAATAATTATTCAGTTCTAAAATAATATTAATCTTTGTTTTTCCTTCAATAACGTATTTTGGTCAAATTTAGTAAATAAATTCTTTTTTAAATATTGATTATCACTTAAAAAAAAATTAAAATATTGGGGTGATTTAAATCAAATTGATTTTATATGCCAACACTACTTCCTTCACACTTTTTTATGGGAGTTTGAAGATTTATGTAGAGAAATGGAAATTAGTTCAAAAAAAAATTATAAAAATGTGTATAAAATTGGTATAGGTTAATTTTTTATAAAATATTGGCCAATCCTATATTTTTTTTCAAAAGATCAATATTGGCATCATTCTGATACCAATATTTAATATTGTTACAACCCTATTCCTGTAAATTTTGCCTATGGCAGAAATTTTTGGTCCTCTTTTGTAAAAATCTTGAAGCTTAGGTAATATATTTTTTTACTAATATCTTGAACAATTTTTTCAAAAAAATATCAGCAAAATCAAGGTTTTTAACAATACTACTATAGAATATGTATTTAAATTGCATCTATATTTAACAATAAGACTAATATAAAATGAAATTTAAACTTGTAGTAAAAGTTGATTTCAGAATTGGTCATTGGGCCTAGAAAATGATAACCAATGTTGCTTTCATCTTTAATCTTTTTGCTATAGCTGTCAAACCATTAAATATATAAATAATTAAGTGTTATATGGAAAATAAATAAATTTATGGTAACCTAATATATTAATTAACAAATATATGATAATAAATTACAATATTTATCTACACATATATTTTGTTTTAATATTAATTTTATCTTTTTTTTCTCTTAAATTAGATAAAACACACATATGATATAAAGATTTGCAAAATATTTTAAATAGTTAAAGTTATTAATTTAACTATAAAATTTGAGTGGGATCAGAGTGAACATCATTCAACAACATAGACATAATAAAAATTGGCTGATATTTAGTTGACTCTTCCACATTTTTGTCATTTTCATTAACTGGGATATAAATAATCTCTTTAAGAATGACTATAAATTAAAAAAAAATCAATAATATTTGATAATACAATAACCTTTTACTAAATTTGAACCATCAGTTGGTAATTTCTGAATTTTTTTCAAATCATCTTTTGGGATAAAGTCAATGGGACATATAGCCTTTGTGTTAAATTAGATAGGTTTAGATTCATAAACAAATTGTATTAACAACAAATGGTATAAATATTTAATAACTTTAATAGAAAACATAGAAACATCTGAAAAAACATAAGGACCGATTTGAAAAAATATCTGACAATTAACTCCTTTAAATGAGATTTCAGTAATTTTACATATAAAATAATCTAATTTTGGTTTTAAACATTTTGAAAATTGATCTATTATAGATTCAAGTGATAATTGTGGGTAGAATGTAGGCAAAGTAGGTAATATTGGAAATATATCTAAAATTTCATATAAAGTTTATACAAATATAATATGAAACTTTTGGCTAATGGCATGCGTATATTTTCAGAACAAGCATATGTATTAAATGAATTTAAATAATTTGATTTTGCTGTTTGAAACTTTATCACCTTTTTATTAAATCTTCTAAAATATTTTTATTAATACAACTAATGAGTAAATTTATACTCATAATCTGCATCAATATTTGCATCCATAAATAAAATTTTTTAAAAACCAATCCTTTAAAGGTTTTTTTTGACATCTTGGTTAATTGCTTCAGAACACCCAAAAATAAATGGGCAGCATCTGGGACTCCTAATTACTTATCTAACAATAATCAGATAAGCGAGCATTATGTATAATTCTGGATTATAATAAAACTAATTTTTTTTTTAACGAATATTATATTTTTATTCAATATATAGTTTTCTCACATATATATATAAAATATAATAAAATAAAATAATATTATATAAAAACCGAGGCGGGACTACAAGTTCCCAAAAAACATGCGTAATTATATTTTAAAATTGTGATTTGAAGGTTTTGTTTTAAAAAATAAAATTCTTTAGGTTCTGATGTAAGGCTCTTATCTTATCTCCTTTTTTTTAAAAAACTTTAAAGTTCCACTTGGCATATGTCCAAGGGAAGAGATAACAATCGGTGTAAAAATATAATTTGTGAATTTGGAATATTTCATTGTTTTTTTTCTCGGCTATACAACCGGATTAGAATTTAAATTTTTTGGGAAAGAGATACGCATGTGAAGTCCCAAATTAGGATTTCCCTAAAGACTAAGGCACGGAAGTTAAGCCATCTGGTCTTAAGCCATCATCTAACGAATAATTTGTAGGCTCCAGGATGTTTGCTAAATTAATTGCTGCATGCCTTGCATGCCTGCCTTGACTATATATACAATTTAGAACATGTCTCCCTTTGGAGTCAACTAATGTTTGTGGTTGAACAATGTTACATCCAAGTCGATGGCCTATGGCAACTCTTAATTGTTCATCTGATAAGAGGTTACTTAGGTTACGACTTGGTAATGCTTCCAACCATTCATAACCACTAGTACAGTCAGCATTCTATAATAGTTGAATATACTCCAAAGGGGGGTTTGATGAGATTATTTTAAAAATTTTTTTAATTAAAGGTTCGAAAATAGATTGGTTTTTTAAGATCGTGGGTAAGACAGCTTCAGGTGAAGCTAAAGATACTCAGGCTGTCAAGGCTGAGTTTAAAAGGTTATCTTTAGGAGAGATAAAAGAAGATATCATGGTGTTATTCATCAAACGCGATGCCAAAAATAAGGAAAGAGATAGAAGGTTTAAAGGATATAAATCTAAACCACCCATTTTCAAGGGTAATTGTGAGAAACCCCAATTAAATTCCAATTTAATATTTAAAATATTTTCTAATAAACTTCTAAAAAATTCATGAACACGATTAATAATTTCATTATTTAAAAAAAAGGAATAAGATCTAAAAATATGTACAATCTTTGGTAAAAATAAATATTTTTTTAAAAGAAAAAAGCTCTGGTGTGAAGGAATTTCGTTTAAAATAGTTTCAAGTCCTGATAAGCCTTCGAAAAATTTTTCCACGAACACCTCACAGTTGGAAAAACTGCTTAAAGGTGAACCTAGAAGATTAATTTCACTTTTTTTGATGATTTTAAACCCTTGGACTTTGAGAGTATTTGAATTTAAAAAGCTTATTTCCGATTTAGCTTTATTTAGAGTAAGGCCTATGTTTAGGGAATTCTTCTCTATATATTCTATTAGAGTATAAAAAAATAAAAGTCCACTTTGTTGTAGTTTTGTAATTTTGTTATATATTTATATATATATATAATGAGGCTATTATTACTTGCCACTACGGTTGCATTTAAAAAAGTTTTAAAAAGTAAAATTTTTATTTTTTAAAGGACGCATGTTGTTTTTTTATTTCATTACAATATTTATTTATTTTAAAAAATTATTTTTTATTTAATTTTTTTTCATAAATTATTAATACTCTCTTTTTTTTACTAATGGTGGAAAATCAATCTTAAATAAATATATATCTTTTAAGATAAATATTTTTTTTACATTAAATTTTCCTTTTTTAGGATCAATATGGTATTAGACCAGCGTCTACATGAGCGGGAGGGGTAGGACAGTTTGCATCCTATTTTTTGAGGGGGTAGGGGGTAGGCTGCTTTAATGGGGGTAGGGTAAATTTTTTGGGGGGTTATCTATTAAATCTTGAGATGAAATAAGGCAAAATTTATTGCTGTAAAAATTAATACTTTTATTATGGAATTATTTTAATACAATTCATCGACCAAATCTATATATTGCAAACAATCATACACATTGTTTTCCAAATAAACTATCCTTTTAAATGTAAAAGGTTTAGATATTTCAACAGCTCATAATGCCATAATAATTAATTCATTGTAAATAATAAGGGTTTTAATTGAATTTATTATCTAAAAAATAAATTCTATATATTCACAAAATATCGATAGTTGGTAGTAGAGATATAATTTAAGTTATCCTTTATAAATTCTTTGAAAAGAGTATCAATAAATTAAATAGGTAAAAATAATAATAAAAGACACCGCCGCCAGGCGGCGGTAATTTTTTAGAGGGATAGGCAAAGATTTTTGAAGGGGGTTTGCATCCAATGAAAATCCTGTAATTTTGAGATGAAATAGTACAAAATTTATTGCTGTAAAAATTAATACTTTTATTATAGAACTATTATAATACAATTCATCGATTAAATCTATATATTGCAAACAATTATACATATTGTTTTCCAAATAAAACTTTCTGCTATCCTTTTAAATTACATTTAAAAGGTTTAGATATTTCAGCAAGCTCATAAAATTATAATAATAAATTCATTGTAAATAATGGAGGATTTAATTGAAATTATTATCTAAAAAATATATCCTTTAGATAATTTTTTAGGGGGGTAGGCAAAGGTTTTTGAAGGGGGTTTGCATCCATTGAAAATCCTGTCATGTAGACGCTGGCCTTATTGTTTTGAATAATTTTAGGGCTTGAGGAGCAAATGATCCATAGGTGTCTGAGACTACCGGAACAAACAAAACATTATTAAGGTGGCTATATTTATTTGTTTTTGTATTTTCTAACGTGATGGAGTTGACAGAAAAAGATCTGGCATAACGATCTACACATGTATAATTCCAAGCTAGGGGTAAACCTTGGTTCCAAGGGTTCAGCGTCATTCCATCAGGTCTGAGAGTTCCAGCGTAGTATTTGTGGATTTCTAGATTCTATTGATAATCTAATTGACGGCATAGTACCTGGGTAATCTGCCTTTTGAGTAATGACAGTGTAAAGGATGGTGTCCCTATCGATATGAGTTTTTCTTAGTACATGATGTCGGCGTTATGATTTCACAGTCTAAACGCAGACATATAGCTATTCTAAGTTATTGGCTGGACAAGCCTAAATTAACTAGTAATAGTTTCTAACCAATCGTAATCAAGTTGTCATATGGCTGAGGTTAGAATTGATTTGAGAAAAGAGTTTGTGTAATTCTTTATACTTGGAGTTGGGTTTAGGTGGAGAATGAGAGATGGAGATTTTCTTTATACAGCTTTGAAATGTAAGTATTCGGTGCAATGCTGTATCAATAATCTCTTTGCCTTATAGAATTTGGATATGAGCAGCTTGGAGCATTTTTGCTCCATAGGTCATGATACCTTATGATGTGGATCGATCCTATCCAAGTTTCTAAGTGTGTATCGGAATTTAGCAACTGAGGATAAAAAGGCTGAACTGCTTAAGAATATGGGGGAATGGATACCTATATCACCTAGCGTTGGTGGAAAGGCATCTTGCATCTAGGAGGTTGATGAGAATTTTATATTTAAAATAGATTCGAGAGTATTTAATTAAATTAAACTAACTTAGTAATAAAAATTATTTTGACCACCTTCTCAGGGAATGATGATGGTCATACATTATACTTAATAGCAACATAAAATGCCAACAAACCTTTTGTGGAACAAAATAAACGGGGCCTTCATCTGAATAAAAAGAAATTAAATTTTATTGTTTATTTTAGTTAGGAGGAGGGGGTTATAAATTTTTTTAATATTTAATGCACATTAAAAAGAATCCAATAAATTAGTATTTTAAATCAGGGAAAGGGTAAGTTTTTTGTGCCAGAATGGGCAATTTTTATTAGCAACTTAAAATTAATGTCCCTTTTGTAAATCTCAAAATTTTAAATATTTTATTTTTAAGATTAAATTAAAATGAATACGAATATATATATATATATATATTTAAAATTAAAATTATTTTTAGGAGTGAACGCCTTTATTATGCTTTTAGTGAATGAATCGCCAATCTATAGTTATATATCATTGATATTATCTATCTTGTTTCTTCCTAAAATGTATAATATTTTAAATTTAATTGGTAGTTTTTTTTTTTGCAAATTAGATACTTTTTTATATATATTGTGAATAGAATCATTTAAAATTACCAAAATTAAAATATATTTCAGTATTTTCATAATTATAATTATAAATTTTAACATGTTAATTATTTAAATGCTATTTTAAAAAAAAAAATTAATAGTTAATGCTATATTTTTATATAATTGATATGCTTTTAATGTTTTTGTTATGTTTTTAAATGAAAAAAATTAAATATCGGAGGCAACATACCTAGAATCTCTCACCTCCCCCCCCCCCCATTCCTCTCTAGAAAAACTTTGGTTAACATATGCCTTCAGCCTAAATATTTATAGGAATAAAGATATTTAAAATTTTAAAAAAAGTCCTAATAATATAATAATATTTAGAAGAATTAAATAATTAAAAAGTAAAGAAAAACTAATAATGTTACAGGTTATAATAACTTTTAGATTTATATACAACATTTATCCGTTTTATATAACTTGTTGTAAAACAATTTTTATAAGTTATTTTGAGCTGATGTCATTATTTGCACCAAGACATCTCAATTAAAATCTGTAGCTCAAATTGAGCTTCGATCCACGAATTATTAGTCTTATTTGACATGTCTTAAATATTGCAATAATCTTGGTTTTAAAAAGAATATTTTATATTTGCTTTGAAGTATAATATAATGAAACTTCAAAATTAAAATTTATCATAATTTTGATTGAATAGAATAATTATAAGTATGATAGTAATTATTCAATTCCCAATTATTACTTTGTTTTTTCATATTAATATTAATATTG